TTATGGAACTCTGTTTCTTCAAAAGCCTTCGTCCCATTGTCCCTTTTTTCTCCTTTTCTTATTGTTACCCTATTTGGCAGGCTAGTCCATTTTAAATAACTGCTCCTGATCTCCATCACTTACCCTACTGCCTATGACTTCATTTGCGAGGCCGTCCTTAAGGAACCTGCCACTGACCACCTAACACCAAGCTCTCTAGTCATATGTGTTCAGTCGCTTAGAACTTGGTCACTGTGTGACGGCCACCGCTGATTTCCCTTCCTCCTTGAAACTCTTTTATCCTTTGATTTCTATAACTCTTCTCTCCATACTGTTCTGATCATCAGACCAACCTTTCCTTTATCAGCTTCCTCTCCTCTGCTTGCCACTTCAATATTAAACTTGTCTTTCTGTCCTCTTATTCTTTTTAAAAATCTTCCTGAGCAATCTCACTTATGACTAATGTTTCATAAGCAGCAAGGAAGCAATTGAATCTCAAATCTGTTTCTAATTCCGACATGTCCTTTGATTTCCTGCCTGAATTTCTGACAGCTTCTAAGCACGTCCAACTACACTGCCAAACTCAACTTTTTGAGAATCTTGACTTTCTCTGAGAATCTGGCCCAAGAGCAACCATCCCAAACCTTTTCATATGTACAGAGTTCTCCATATAATTTCAGGAACTTCATGAACTACCCAAAGCCCATCTTTGTTTTCTGCATTCACGGCCCCCAAATTAACAACTCTTGGAGTAGAATAAACAGGACTAGTCCAGACACCCTGACTTGGCATTAGAGACTCTTCCATTTTGTACAATCACGCAGCCATCACACACATCAATCTGTTCTTGTTCAGACACTCTGCATTATAGTCTGGAGCATATAATTTACACTAGACTGTAATCTTGTATTCTTTTGTTCTGGTTTAGGCTATTAGTCTAGTTGCAAATTGGGTTTTTTTCCCATCCTTGTCTCTTTTTTTTTTGGTACTGGGGATCGAACTCGGGTCCTTGTGCTTGCGCAGCAGGCGGCGAAACCACTGAGCTAAATCCCCAGCTCCTTCCTTTTCTTTTTTTATTATTAGTACCTGTTTGTAGTACATAATGTTTATATTCCTTATGTAGAGTTAGTATGTGTACATAATACATCTTAATTTCTTTTTTGTTCCCTTTCCCTCCCCTCCCTCCATCCTGCATTCATCTCTTGATTCCCTTCCTAATAAGAGGCAACCATTTCCCTATGCCCTATTATCTGTCTTTTATTTTGTTCTTTATTTTATTTTGGGTTTCTCATGTAAGAGAAACCATACCATATTGAAGCTTGTGTGTCTGATTTATTTCACTTAACACTATGGTCTCAAGATGCAGCATTTTCTTACAGATGACTCAAACTTATCCTTCTTTATGGTAGAGTACTACTTCATTGTATATAAATACTACATTTTATTTATCCATTCATCTGTTGATGGACATATAGGCTGCTTCTAAGATTTAACTATTATGATTTGTGCTGCTATAAACATGTATGTATGTATGTATCACTGTAATATGATGTCTTTAACTCTTTCAGGAAGATACCTAGGAGAATAGCTGGGTCAGATAGTTTCTAGTTTTAGTTTTTTTTGAGGAATCTCTAATGGATTTCCATAGGGTTTGTACTGGTTTACATTTCTACCAACAATGTAGATTTCCTTTCCCCCATAGCTTTGTTATTACTATATTTGATTTTTTGATGATGGCCATTCTTACCGGGATAAGATGGAATCTTGGTGTTGTTTTAATTTGCATTTCTGTAATGACCAGGGATGTTGAGTATTTCTTCATGAGTTTACTGGCTATTTGTACTTCTTTTGTGAGGTGTCTGTTCATTTCACTTGCCCATTTTTTTGATTGGCTCTTTTATTTTGTGGAAGTCTATTTTTTTTTTTTAAGTTCCATTCTAGATATATTAGTCCTCTGTCTGGAGATTGTGGAAGCATTGAAAAAGTATGTCAAAAAGATATGGCAATCAAATAGGTGCTTAGGTGATTTAATTTTTTCATACTTAGGAGATTCCAGACCTGAAAGCTTGATTCTTAAAACCTCTAGAAAGATATATGATTCCATAAAGATTCAAGCTTTCCTCTCAGTCACGTATCCCAATAAATTTTTAAGAATGCCTTTTTCTGACTGGAGGCACAGGGCTTTAAGAAAATCTCCGTTTCATGCTTCTCACCTTTACCATGACAATTGTGGGCAAAACTGTTCATTTCTGATCAGGAATCAATACAGCACTATGTCAGAACTCACATGCCTAGGGCCAGCACTGGAGCATAAGTGAACACATTGTTCTCTTGTTTGTTCATGTATTCACTTGCTGCTTAACTCTGTTTACCTGGTCTGATCTACAATAGCTACCTCCTCTCCCTGCATGGCTGTAGACTCCACCTCTATTTCAGGTCCTATTGTACCTATTGTCTACTTTCATATCAATTATTGGCCCCTCTGTCCCAGATCCAGGCAGCTTAGCTAGATGTATGTTTTTTACATTAGTTATAATAGGAATGTGAAGTTTAATGAAGTTATCTCCTAATATTTCTGTATCAAAAGTAAATAATCATGAAGTTTTAAAAGGTTTCCAGTTAGAAATTAGGTTTGTAGAAATATTGCTCCTTAAACTGTTGGGAAAAACAATGTAACTATCACTTACAACTGCTTTTTTACTTTCTGTCATAAAAACTTTTTTATACAATGAGCTGTTACTGTATGTGAGAAACACAGCTGAAACACACCATGCATTCTTGAAGTTTTGCTTGGGGGATGAAGTTATAACATGCATTCCCTGTTGTAAAAAGCCCAGCCTGAGTGTAGTTCCTTTGACCCGGTACCAGTAGGAGGAAGGTGTTAATTACCATGTTGCCAGGAGGTTTATGCACTGGCATTAACATCTCAGCAGGAGAAAGATGGCGTAATGGCCACTTCTGAGAATGGGTGAAGAAAAGCATCGTTCCTTACCTGCAGACTCATTTTTAGCTTTTTGTTTTAGTGATACTGAACGAGTATGATTTTGAAGGACCTTAGTCTTTTAGTAGCATAACTGTCTTGCCATTTTTATTATCTGTGTGATTAAAACTCAAACGCTTTACTTGGTGTAGGAATCGAAAGTACTTGGTTAATGTGTTAATTCATTGTGTGAGTCTGTTACAGCCACACTGCGGTCCACACTTGTGAGGTTTGGTGAACACAGCTGGGATTTAAGAACACTCCCCGCGGGGTTGAGAAATTAATTGCCCACAGTACTTACTTAAATCATTTTTGAAAATCTTTCCAACAATTGCATACATACTGGGGGGGCGGCTTGGAATGCAACAATTACACATTGCAAAGTCAGCCTTTTCAAATTAATTACAAGTTGTGATAAAAATATGATAAAAATTTATATTTTAAAAATTTATTACAGTACAAGTCACATTGCAATGAATCGCCCTCAAAGTACTCCTCCTCTGCTGCCACACACTGATCCCATTCCTCTTGCCACTTTCTGAAGCAATTACAGAAGTCTTTTTGTATAAGTGGCTCTAGTTGTGCTGCCGTGGCTGCCTCCGTGATCTGAGTTGATTCCAATGTTTCTCTTTCAGGATCATTTTGGGGCAGAGCCACAGTCCCATGGTGCCACACCCAGTGAATAAGGGTGCATCGGGTGCATAGTAGCCTCCCTTTCCACTGCATGGCACTCACTGCTTATTGTATTTTTGATCATAGCTCATAAGGAAAAGAGACTTCAGATCACCTTCAGAAAGTGGGCAGAACGACAGGGGTAAGGGGGGGTATTATTTTGAGGGGGAATTAGGGGCAATGTCCCTTTTACTGCAATACAGTTTTTATAAACACTCACCGTATATTTTGATCCCACTTGCACTGCTGTATTTTGGCCAGCTTTCCTGACAGAATCTCTGCTGCGTGTCCTGCAAAGAAATTTTGCTTAGAGCTATCAGCGAAGCCTTAATGATACATCTAAGCATTTTAGGTCAGAGACGCTGGAAAAGTTCGGTGTTTCTTTTTTTCAGTGAAAACAAGAGGGATAGTGTACGTGTATTTTACAACACATTGGGAGCTACCTCCTTGAGATTTAAGTATTGACTGCAGCTTTTTAATGAAGCACAATTCTGACCCGCCTGAATTCCAAAGTTAAGTGAAAGGGGTCAGGAATTAAACCGATAGGTTTGCAGGACATGACCCATGATTGGTTTAATAGGACCGAGCAGCAGCGTTAGCAACTTAGTCCATGCCTCTTGGGCCAGATTTCCGGGTGCACATCCGGGCATCCCATGAACAAGAGCCCTGCGTACTTGTAAATGGGGTGCTGCCTAAGAGTGATGCCGCTTCCCCGGACGAGGTCCATTTTCTACAATCATCACTACAGGGAGGGAGAAATCACATCTTCACTTTAATATGGAAACATAACCATTACTAATTTCTGCAAATATTTCGGGATAAAAACCAGTTCATTTAAGCAGTGAACTAGTTCTGCATGAAGAGGTTGTGATATAAGTCAGCAGAATTACGCTTCCTATTCATTGCTACTTTCTCTGCCACTCTGCTCTTCTCCTGAAGCCTGGGGCCTTTGGCTCAGCTGTTTGTACACTGCAAGCATTCTTCAAATGCTGTGTTTTGTATTTAAAAGGACCAAATAAGCAAGCTTTAGTCTTAGTGAAGAGACTGCCTGTGTGAATACTGAGCTCCAGGTCAGCACATGATTGTTGTTAAATAAGTGCTTACTAAATCTAGAACCTGGCCGCTTCCTGATCATAGAATTGTCCATAGTATCGATATATATCATGTAAGGGAAGAAGCAAACGCAGCATCCATGATCCCCTGACTTTTCCATGTGTCCCAAAGGTTGACAGGTGTGCATTTTGTTTAGTCTCCAGGACTCGGATACCGAATGGTTTGTGGTCCGATCGTGCTTTGGACGGGTAAGTAGTAATACTTACAGTATCTGCAGCCAAATTCTGATTTATTTTTTTCTTTTGGATAATAAAAGCTGAAAGTAGAAAACTTTTCCACGAACAAGAGGTCGAAAAGTGCCTCGTAACCCTTTTGGGTTCTGAAAGCGATGGAACTCAAGTCGCTGCTTCCCAAGCCATCTCGGCCATGTGTGGAAATGCGGGCAGCCAAGATTTCTTCAACACTCAGGGTAAGCAATCTGGAAACAAACGCTCCGAACCTTTCCGGGTGGCCCTGTTCCAGCCTGCGCAGGCTCCTCAGAGCCTCGTCTTTACCCTTCTTTACCTGCAGGGATCCCACAGTTAGTGCGCTTGCTCAAAAGTGACAACGAAGAGGTCCAAGAAGCTGCCGCCCTGGCCCTGGCCAGTTTGACCACTTGCAATCCTGCTAATGCAAAGTGAGTTCAAAACCCTGACTCAGACCTGAAGGTGTGGAATAGTCCATGGTCCAAGAGGTCCTAATTGTAGTAGTTTGGCTTTTAAGCTACTTACATATTTTTTTTCAGGTAGTCTATCTTGGGTTATTCTTCAGGATGCCTCATGAAAATAGAGTTATTGCATTGGCCTGTTTTCCAAAGATTACAAAATCTCCACTTCCTGAGTCTGCTGGGGAAATGTGCAGGCCTTGATTTGGGCAACAGGCTAATTCTTGCAGAAGCTTCTAGAACTAGTAAAACTGCATAATGCTCCAAATAGCTCAGACAGCATTGTAAAAACAGCTAATAAATCTAGACAGAATTTAAAAGATCCATTTGAAAGGATATATGCATTAGAGAAATACAGAAGAAACATTTTTAAAAGTCAGTTAAAAGCAACATATTAAGGGCGAATCTTGTACCATGAAGAGAGGCTGGGGCTAGGAATGCCTTCGGTATTCCACGAGTGTGGGGCGTGATTTATATCCATTTCAGAAATAATTCTTAATCCATGAACAAATGAGAACACCATGATTTTGCAAGCTTATCTAATTTTCCTGGATGCACACATTTATTAAATAGCTGAGCAAGAAATTCAACCCAGGACTGTTGTACCCCAAAGTCTCTGTTTTTACTTCTATAGAAGATTGCCTTATAAAATAGGAAGGATTTCTCAAAAGCAGCTTTAATACATGAAATAATTCTTTACCCTCCCTGGATCTCATTTGGTATGTAAGTTCATTTTCTTTTATTATTGTTTTGTGACACTGAGGCTAAAATCACTTGTTTTTGAACTTGAGATGAAACCTTCACTTCTGCTATCATGTACTTAATTTACTCTTGAATCTTTCTTTTCCTTTCTCTACTCCCACATAAATATTTTATAAGACCTTAATGGAATGACTAAATATCTAACAATGCCTGATTAAAAACACAGTGGAACCCTTGAGGATCAAAACAAAACTGTGCTTTTATCAGCTACAGTCTTTTGCATAATAATTTCCTAAACTAAGGGTCATCATTATCTCTGTGAAAACAAAGAATATTGAGTTATAGGAAGTAGCAATTTGAAAATAACATATTCAGTGGTCTTCTCAGGATAGGCACATCCCTGCAAAAAAGTCTTATCAGCAGTACTAAAACACATCTATCTCGAGGCCATTTAGCCTCACATGTTATCTAAAATACTTTAATGGGCCTCCAAAGTATACAAAATGTTTTGCTTTGGCATAAATTTGCCTGGCTTCTGTTATTTCACAGTTTTGTATAAAATCATAGGATTTTAAGTACTAGTTCTAAAAGGGTCTGCCTTCATATTTTCTCTTTCAATGTCATTATTTTGGATTTTTGTCCTTTGATTATAGTCCTGTTTTGTCAACATAAGGTTAATGCCTGACTTCTCTACTATAATCAACTTTACTTTGTAATTTTATTCTCATTGAATTTTGATTGCAGTGGTTTAAAAAGCAATCATATACTGTTCACCCCAACTCACACACACATGTGATTTTTTTCTCCTTGATTTGTATTTGGCGAGGTTTTTCTAGATGTTCTTTGAAGTCTATGTAAGTTTTTATTTTGGACTTTTTGAGGTAAAAAAATACCGAGAATGTTTTTGGGGAGTCAGATTTAGCATATTTGTGCCAGTGCTGATAACAGGAGTGGGAGAAGATTGTTCAATCGGTGGGCAGGAGTAAGCCCAGATAAACCCTGTCCCGGGCCTTCTAACAAGCCAGTCTCCAAGCCAAACACGGCAGCAGGGACAACAAAGATGATTGGTTATTTTTAATAGAAAGTGTTTTCCACTCAGATCGTCTTTTAAAAACGTAACATAAACTCAGCACTGAGTGTTTCCAGGGTCCTTTGGAGCAGCTGTTTACTCGACTGCACCTCCTAACACGAACTGTGGCCTTGCTGCTGGGGTGGCTGAGAGCAGGGTTTTCAGATTGCTTTTCTGTCACAGGTAGCAAAGAGAGGAAGTGAAACATGAGAGGCCTCTATGAGCACTCGGTAGCTGCTTGCATATCTGATCATTGCTGGCCTAATAAAAAATGCATTTACACGCTGCAAAGACCAATCTGGGTTGTGCTACAGTGTAGCACATCTCCTGTCCTCATATCGCCATGTGCCTGGAATTAATGTCTACTTCTTCAACTTGGGGCATCTTCTGGAGCGGAGGCCTATTCCACGAATTGAGTAATCACTGCTGTGTTATGGTAAAACATAGTACCCGTGCAATTTAGTGTATGTAATGGGCTTTGTCCTAGAAAGTTGTAAGGACAATAAAATTTTCTAAATTAAGGGAAAAAAGAGTCAACCGGGGGGGGGAAAGGAACATAATTTATGGTGACGGATTTTATAAAGCTGACAAATGATTAGGCCTCAGGAGTGTTTGCCTAATAAACAAAAAAATCTGGCAAATGCTTTTTTATTAAAGTTTTTTTTTTTTTTTTTTTTTTGGTACCGGGGATCGAACTTGGGTCCTTGCACTTGTGAGGCAGGCGGTGGAACCACTGAGCTAAATCCCCGGCCCTATTAAAGTATTTTTATAATCTAAAAATATGCACCTTGGGAGGCTGAGGCAGGAAGATCACAAATTGGAGCCTAGCCTGGGCAGCCAAAGTGAGGCCCCTCTCAAAATAAAAAGCTTAAAAAGGGCTAGGGACGCAGCTCAGTGCAAAGGCCCTGGGTCCAGTCCTCAGTGATACAAAAAAAAGTTTTTTATAATCTATCTGTAAATTAATTTATTGCCTATTATATCTGACTTCAGATTTTTCCTACATCTTGTTTCTCACAATAAGAAAACACATTCACATGCAATAAAATAGTGCAATGATGAGAAATGTTAGTGGCAATGTTAAATAACCAGACCATCCATATATACCCCCTTGGGGAAGGTTTTCAATTTTGAAGTCATTTGAACATCACCTTAATTAATGCCAGAAGATCTCCCCTATTTGGTATTCTCTGTGAATGAGGATTCCCGTGTACATTTTCTGAACATTTTCAAAGTTACTTCTTCAATTAACAACACTTTAAATCTTTTGTAATGAGTTTGCATTAAAGTTTCCTAAAATCCTTCCCTCCCAGCTCTTCTGATGGGTCCTCCTACTATCAAGCTTGGGGGAAGAGGGCGTAGATGTCACTGTAAGCCTAGACATGCTCCTGGCTCACACTGTCAGGCCCCTCGGGGGATGGGGTCCCTGACCCCCATCATGGGTGCAGCTTCCGGTGGGTCCCTGGGGTTTTCATGCATTCTGAGACCCTGACCGGCAGGGCCGCTGCTCCTTTTCATGCAGTGCATGATCGCGTGGACAGAGTCTCTAACATAGCCTCTGCTGGAAGCTCCCTTCAGGCCCTTCTTTCCGTAAGTTAATAGCTTGGACATCAGGTAACGAGCTTTATCACATTTTGTATAAAAGCCCCAAAGCAGGGCTCGAGGCCTCTTCTTCGTATTTTGGCTCTTCGGGGGTCGTTTCTCCCCTCAGCCTCTGTAAGTTCTCATGCATGCTCTGGATATGTGAGTTTCCCTGGTGTGTTAGTTACCTTTCTTTCATTGCTGAGATAAAATAGCTGACACCCAAAGTTAAGGGGAAAAGATTTATTTGGCTCACAGTTCATAGAGGTCTCAGCCCATAACCGGCTGGCTCCAAGGCAGGGTGGCCCGTGGCAGAGAAGCATCGCAGAGGAGAAACAACATGGCGCACACAAAGTAGTGAAAGCAACAAGACACCTTAGCAGTGTCTTCCGGCCCCTTTGTCTCTTTCAAACTCCCGGGATTAGGGCTGTGCCAAACCAGTCACTCTTGCGAAGTGGTTTAGTAATCACACGCTCTTACTCCCAGCGTCACACACTCTAGATTCAGCCACCTCCAAAGCAGCTCCACCTCATTCCCATGAGGCTTTGGGGGAACACCTAAACACAAGCCATAATACCTGGTATTCGAGTTTTGTATAAATGAATTGTCATTTAAAAATTATTAACAAATACAGATCTCTTTACTTACAAGAGTAAAACGATGAAGAGTAAAATAGGCCATTCAGTATCTTCTGGAAGTACATGCAGCCTCTAGTTTCATTCTGCCTTGTGTCTCATGCTAACCACTCTTTTGCCTGGAAGGCTTGGGGCTCACTCACTCACCCCTCCAAGTCACTGCTCAAATGTCACCCTGGTGAAGAGGCCACCATTCATTACTGTGGAGTCTTAGATTGGTCCACACACGGGCACACACCCAAGCCTGCTTCTCGGCTGCCTTCTCTCCTACCACCACTGGTGTCCAGGAGGGAGCAACCTTGCTCTGTGTAATTCACTGACAAATCACAAGCATCTGAAAACAGCGTCCATCCTATCATAGGCTTTTAGGGGGGATAAGTGTACCCCCCCAAATTCAAACAAAAGTAAAGGGACAATAAGAAATAGGAAATCTATTTTAAAGTCTAAAGCATCCACCATGTTCATAACTTAATCAGTGTTGGTGGTTTTTTTATTATTTAATTTGGATCACAGAAGCCATAGTGCAATCAATAGTGAGAACTTTTTCATACTTTTCATTTTTTATTACCTGCAGGATAAAGGTTAGTAGAAAAAATATGGAAAAAGGCTTAAATAAGAATAAAAATGGCTGTCCAAAGGCACAATACAAGAGGGCAAAAACAGCTAGAATCACTTATTAGAAGTGTAAGAAACGAGAACACACATCAATAAAAAAATGAAAGTAACCCCTCCCCATCCAGAGGAACATTTAAAAATGGAAATCATGATCCAGTGGTGAGTTTTATACACCGTGTAATCCATTTAGCTAATTTGGACAGATCCTTTCTTGGTACAGTGCTAATCTATTTGATGATTGTTTGTAGTACTTTTTGGAAATGAGAGGCTATTCATTCTCAAAATAGGAAATATTTTCAGTGAATTTCATGTTGTACTTACCCTGTGCTCTTTTATCCAATTAATCATGTCAAAATTTTACATTATTTATCCAA